AGACCGGTTGACTGTTTATCCGTCCGTCCGTCCGTCTATCCGTGCAAGCGATAACTTGAATCAAAATTGAAGTATCTTGATGAAGCTTTGTACACGTGTTTCTTGAAAAAAAAAAAATAAGGACGAGTTCGTAGATGGGCGTAATCGAACCTCTGCCACGCTCACAAAACGTCTTTATTCGAAAACTTTTACTTTCGGTAGCCAGTGACACTTTTAAAAGTGGTCGCGGCTATGCCCCCAAAATGTTTTAACATGTAAAAATGGGTAAAATCGGATAATAACCACGCCCACTCCCCATATAACGGTTATGTTGATAACTACTAGAAGTAATATAACTCACAGAATAAATGAGTCACTAGCATAAAATTTCACAACCAAGATGGTAAAGAACGGCTTTTAAGGAGATGTGATGTGAAAATTGGACAAAGGGCGTGGCATCACCCATCTTTAGGTGAAATCCTACATCTCAGGAGCTACCTGAGCGATTTCAACCAAATTTGGTGTGTAAGTGTGCAAAAATTGGATGGATGGAAACCACGCCTAATTCCCAATAAACAAATTTTTAAATACAGTCTTATTCTTTCACTTTACAGTAGTATATAATCAAATAAAAATAAAGTTTTCTAAATAAAACTTTGCACAAATAACGGCCGCAAGGTATTTCAGCTTACGCTAAAAAAATTGTCGAAATCGCACACTTGTGTCAAAAATGGATAAAAGTATGTAAACACTTTTCTTAGCCCCCATAAACCTAACATAAATATTTTCGAACTCTTGGTTTACTTTATACCGCATCAATATGTAAGAAATCTAATGAAATTATGAAATAATCCTTTTTTCTAATAACAGTGTATACCCTTTCCTTAAATTTATGAAATCACGGCGATACTTTCCATAATTTAATATAAAGTTTTGCCAAAACCAGAAGATGTTCCTCCGCCTTTGTTTCTTGTTCGGTTACACCCGAACTTAGCCCTTTCTTAGTTGTTTAATATAAAGTGTTGCCAACACCTAAAGGTATTTCCCGGCTTTGATTCTTACAAGGTACAAGAGTATGGAATATTCGGTTACACCCGAGCTTAGCCCTTCCTTACTTGATGTATTTATTTTTATTGTTTTTTTTTAGTCATATTGAAAATAATAAAGGTAATGATATTCATTCTGGTAATTTTTGTTTGTAATTTTAATGTTTTCAATATGTTAATAATATCCGCAAAGCGCTTTTAGTGTTATTATTAATGAAGTTCACTTCATTATTAAACCATAGTGCCGTAGTAGTTGTTAAATCAGGCATACGAATGAACGTAATGCAGGTAATTAGAAATGATATAGTGCAGGAAAGTATGTTCACAATTGCAACAGTAATTTTAACCAATTTTAAAGTTGAATGTATTGGTATTGGTTGAGGCCTTGGTAATGGCTTTATTTATAACGGTTATCGCTAGATTAGATTTAATGAAATGGTTTTGGTAGATGCACGAATCAGTATATTAAAAGTAGAAGTATACTTTTCGAAAAATTACTCCTGCGAGTTTCATTTATTACTGACACGGAGAGGCTTTACCAGGTGTACCGGTGTTTGAGTTTTTTTGTGAAAATTAAATACTAATTTTGAATGAGAAAGTAAAAAAAAAGAAAAGTATTCAAAGTATTGACCATTGCCTTTTATACATTTTGGTAAATTATCTGGCAATTTGTGGATACCATGACAATAGAAATGTTCGTATTTTTCAAATACCATATTTTCGACTTCTGCGTAGGAATCGAAGTGTTGCTCAGCCAATGCGTGTCGCATCGATGAAAACAAATAATATTCGGAAGGTGTCAAGTCTGGTGGTGGGGTAGCGGCTCCCAGCCAAGTATTTTGATTGTATCCTGAACCGATTTTGGCTTTGCGTGCAGGCGCATTGTCGTGTAACAAAATTACTTTATCATGTCTTCTGATCCATTCGGGTCGTTTTTCGATTAATTTATGGCTCAAATTGATCATTATTTGCAGTCGATGTTACTAGCTGTCCCGGTTTAGTCCATGATTTTCTCTGTTTACGATTATTAAAATAAATCCATTTTTCATCACAAGCAACAATTCTATGAAAAACTAATTTTCAATCGTGCCTTTGAAGCAAAATTTTACAAGTGGCGTTCAATTTGGCTTTCATTCAATTCATATGGCACCCATTTTCCACACTTTTTGATCTTTCCCATAGCTTTCAAACGGTCTCAAATTGTTTGTTATGCAACATTTAACATGGCTGCCATTTGCTTTTGACTCAAAGTATTATCTGCATCCAATATTGTTTGCAGTTTGGCGTCTTCAAACTTTTGTTCTTCCCCGTTTTTTCATTCTCACACCAAAATCATTACTTCTGAACCATTGCAACCATCTTTTGCATATTGCTTCTGATAGAGCATGATCGCCATATGACACGACAGGCATTGCAGCACTTTTCTTCAAATGGAAACAAAAAATTAATGCTTTCCGCAAATCATCACTTTCCACAAAATGAATAAAATATGATTGTGTGCGTTAAATGACTGACAGATGTCATGCTAACCAAACAGGAAAAAAATTAAGGCTCGTTCACAACGTTTGTATCTTAAGGCTTACTTCATACCGGTACACCTGGTATATGGTGTCGTCCGGGATTAATTTACAGATATATTTTTCTATTTTAAGAAGTTTCTATAAAAGTACAATAGTAAATGCGTAAATATACTGGATTTAACTGAGGTTTTTCTTCTTGGGCGCTGACCTTTGCTAACGGCAGAGAGATTTTATCAGATAACTGCTTCTGCTACATTTGTCAGCACGGCGCCAACTGTGAGTCGTATCTCCGCAGAAAACTTCAACTGTCCGTACATGTGGATAAAATATTGAGTCAATAGTGAATGAAATAATTCAGTTTCAAAAAATGCCCTTGACGTTTGATAGCAAAAAGAAATGATGTGACTAGCCATCTAGAATTTCCGGCTGTGCTTTTATGGGATTATGGGATGAGAACCAAAATGTGCATCAGCATATTATCTTATAAAGTAATATTTATCTTTGATATTTTTTAATTTATAACTTTATATTACATTTTTCTTTTATTTTAAAGTAATTTTTATTTTAAGTATTTTTTGCAAATGCTTATGTGCGTTATTCACATATACAAACGTTGCCGGCTCCCATTTAAAAATATGTAGCTGTGGTCACTTTGATAATAGTAACGCCATTTTTGCAGCAAAGCCGACTAGCCACTTTTACAAGCTATTAAAAATGCTGTGAAACATTTGTAAAACAAAAGCTTAAATAAATTTTAATTTTATTCAACCGCCGCTCTGTCATTTTTCGCACGCGCGCATACAAAAGGCCAATAACATACACTTACACAATGGCAACGAAATGCAGCGTCCGCAAAGCGCGGTCTACTTTTTTATTATTTGCTGCAAACATTTAATGCAGATAAACTCACACATATATAAGTAACGTTGTGTATACAAACATATATGTATGCTGACTACAATGTTTATGTGCCACAGCGGAATTTGTAACTGTAATCATTTCATTGTTACCCTTTCTGAGTCTGTTCAGCTGTACAGCTTAGCGGTCAAGCGAATTAATTGTAATTAGGTTACAGTGGCCTGTGGAGATAGCAAAAACTGGAATAAAATAATGCAAATTTGGAAAAAGTCGCGTGAAAATGTAACTATTTAGTCAGGGAAAATGTGTTGGCGGAAAATTTCCGTTTTATCTGCTGAGCAAAACAACATTAACGTGCTTTACATTTTAGAATTCTGTGACAAATGATAATCCCTGGAAGTGTATGCAAGTAGAAGTAAATTTTTATAAAGTAAAGAGGAATTAAGTTTATTTCATAGAGTAACCTTTATTTCGAGGTTATAATTATATGTAGCAGTGTTTTTGACACAATTTTAAAGACAAATTTCATCTAAACATGTGCATACAAATTGCTTTTTTTAAGCCTTCAACTCCAACTGATCGGACTTTTCTAATAATTTTGTCATATTGTCCGAAAATCTCTAATAACTTCAGTTTCAGACTTCCTGACAAGCGTTAGACTTAGCGATTTTCAAGCGGACATTGCTGTCGTTAAGGTAGTGGTAGATTTACTGCTTTCTTTATAGAAACTATCCTCTTTTACTCAATGCTGTTTAAGAAATATCTAACCTCGTTATCAATGGCATTGAACAACTTTGTGATAAGATAAGGCCACAGCCGAATCGCAGATAAGGCTGTCATGCTGTCAATTAAAACCATCCTAGACGCGCTATGAGTAGAATGTGGATGGGATGGTGTTCCGCTCTCTTCGCCATACTACTATTACTAAATAACTGGGCTTCGCAGGAGCTTGGCCAGCGCTGGGATACCACCAATTCTGATGTTGTCACAAGATCCTTTTGACCCAAGGATGATCGCAAGCATTCCAGTAAGCTCTTTGGAATTAGATTCTCTCAACTGCTATGAAGCTATTTGGAAAAAGACGAAGTAGAAACAATTCAACGCTTCCTTTTTAATTGTCCTACCTTTGCGAGATCATGGCTTAAACAATTGGCAGCTCTCACTTTTTAGGTATGCCACTAAGCTGGTGGGTATAGAATGCCTAAGAAGATTTGTATTGGCTTCAAGGGGCTTTGTCGACTCCTTATAGGAGTTATTTTTTTGGCTTCATAAAAGACTATATATAGTGGACCAAGTGCGATCACCGTCTTAAGGATCAGACATCGAACCTAACCCAACCTAATATAAAGACTAAATATGAGCTCACACTTGCAAATTTTCGTGTTGATTGACTGCAAGTTTTCAGTCATAAAAATTCCATATATAAATAAGTCAGAGGATAGTAACAAAGTCTCCCGATAAAATTATATTGCTTTCAAATAGTGCAAAACTGTGGGAAATCTGTTTAATCGGAATGCAAACATCACATCGTTTTGATTGCCATGGCATTAGCGTTTACGAAAAATTTATAATATATGTTGTGTTTAAACTAACTTACCAAAATGATGGGCGATATGATCGCGCTCTTCTGATTCCACGGGCACACCACTAGTGCCATCTTCCTGATCGAAGCCGTGCAGATTCATTATATTCTCCAAATCCATATTCTCCAAGCTGCTACTACTGCCATCGCCGCCTCCAGCACCATCGGGATAGTGATTTTGGCCACGCATTTCGATGGTGAACGTATGTGCGATGGCATCACCAGCTGTGACGGTCATATGCGTGCAGTAGGCAAACGGCAGTAAACTAACGCCAGCATCTCCGCCTTCGCCAAGCCACAGCCAAAAGTTGTTAACACAAATTACGGTAATTAATAACAAAAATTTTGGTATTTTACTTTTCTGTTTCGTTTTCATTATGTGTGTCGGCGGCGCTACTATATTGGTAGTATTTATCATTGCTGTTACTCTTGCTCTTCTCGCTATTTTCGCTATCATTCTCGCCGCTTTGCTGCGCATCGTTCGCGTTTCGCGCAGCACAAAAGCAATCGTGCTCCCCGAATTTATTGTGCGCGACTCCGGATATTTATTTTAGTCATTTCGGTGTTTGTGGCGTCTAAAATGCTCCCAAAAGTATGCCTCGTTGCGCGACTATTTCAAAATATTTGTCGTGTTTACAACATTTTAACGAAATATTTGGCGCGTTAATTTTATTATTGCCGTAACCGTTACAATTATTTCTATTTATTCCACTGAGGGTAATTCACTTGTTTGCTGCTTCTATGTAGGTGACAGTGGTTTGGAAAAGCAGCTGTTGCGTTCGCTGATCTTGTATATTTTAGGGCTTTGTTTTCAAATGACCGGAAATTAATAGACGAATACAATAACATTAGTTAAGCAATTTTATTACATACTCAACTAACGGTGTGCATAAAATATTCACGGTTGCAGAAAAATAAAAAAATGTACTTCCTAATTTTCCAATTTTAGTAAAATTTGCTAAATTAATTTAATATATAAATAGCGTAAGTTGCGTTTCTTATTTGTTGCTATGCTTCGTTGTTTTGTTGCCACTTTTGCACTTAATTTGAAAAACTCTAAAAACACTTTCACTTTTGTAGTAGTTTCATTTAATTTTCTCTGAATCTCTAATATATTCCGAAATCTGAAAGTAATTATGGAAAATATGTTAAAAAAGTATAATCGTAAATTAATTGAATTAATATTAAATATATTAATTTTATGTAATAATTCATTAGATCATATAATAATTACTCCTCTTAAGAGACTACGATTTGTGAATTAATATCTTAGGGTCGCGAAAAAGTCTTTCCCCTGATGAGGTTAAGGCTGAACTTGTGCAAAATTTTGCGCATTTTATGAATAGAAAACTTCAAGCTGTGATAGGGTCCAAATGTACACATACAAGTTATTAATTTGCCTCAAAGAGAGCTTTTATATGAATTAATGTAAACAAATCCTTTTGGTCTTTAGAAATGCAGTTATTTTGGACTTGTTAATATTTTAGAGAATACTAGATTTTTGAAAATATATTTCATGCTGTTTTCGGCCCATTCACTGAACGCGCGACGCGCTGGTAGGGCGCTTGGCTTCCATTGTTTTACGAGTTGGATTTGGTAAGTCTGCGAACAAAGATGCTTTCGCAAAATCTTCCATAAAATAGATTGACACAGCTCAAAAAGGAAAGGTGTCCTTGGTGCGCATGGTACGGCGTCTCTGAGATTGCGCCTAATCAACTAGAGTACAAATCAAGTAACAGCTGTCAAAAAAACCCACTCCGAAAAAAATTGACTGATTGAAAACCACACGTCTAAAAAACTTCACTTCAAAATAAAATATCTCTATACAATTTGTTTTGTTTTGGTTCACAATATATTTTTATACTCTTGCAACATGTTGCTACAGACTATAATAGTTTTGATCACCTAATGATTGTTTGTATCAGCTAAAAATAATCACGTTAAATTAGGGATATATATATATATAAATGATTATCATGACAATGACTCTACCAATTTCAACCGAATTCGGAGTGTAATGTTACCCGAAATCAATTAAAAACGCCGGCTCCTTTCCATACAACACACTTTTAAATTCCATCTGATTACTTCCCTTTTTAGTATACAAATCAAGAACCAATAAATGTAACCACATAAAACTTTGCACAAACAGCACCCTAAAGATATTTTTATCTTCTAAAAATTGTCAAAATCGAACCATAACTTTTGAAGAACACAGATTCCACTAACTACAAACTAACTAACTACAAAGTACGACTAACTTTTTCGTGAAAATAGCGGGGATGAGATATATTATTGAAACCAAAGGAAAATATTTCTATGATAATAATATGACCTTGTGTTAAAAATGGGTTGAATCGGTTGCATTGTTCTTTTAGCCCCCATATACCTGATATAAAGACTTTCGAAGTTTTAATGAAATTGAGAGAGCGTGTTTTTCTAATAACAGCGTATATTTGTGCCTAAAAAACTTGCCTTGGCTCTCATATAACTGATATTCACGCTTTTGAAACGTCCGGCTGACTTTACTATATATGTGTGTATATGTATATGTTTATATTTATATATTTGTAAAGTTGCTTGAAAATAAGTTCTCAAGTATACCTGAGCAATGTCAAAAATTAATGCAATCATATCTTCCATTTCTCAGCGCCCAATGATTTTCGTATAATTTTCTCTGACGGGAAGTAAAATATAGTAAAAAACTAAGTGAGTACATGACCTTCAAATTAGGTTAATATGATACGACTTTTGAGTACGATTTCGTCGAACAAAGATGTTGAACCCTTTCGCTACATTTTTTAATATTATCAACACCTGTAGGTATTAAGCCGGCTTTGACTGCAAGTTGCAAGAGTATGAAATGTTCTGAACTTAGCCTGATTACTTGTTTTAATAGTTAGATAACTAACCTAGAGTTAGTGTTGTTCATTTCAACCTGCTTTCTGTCTCTCCTTGTTTGTGGGCAACTTATTTAAGCAAATATACAGATATATATATGCATAAGTAGATATATTATATTATAAATCATAACAATGAAATTAATACAGCGCAGTTGAACGTATGTGACTATAATGAACAGGCTTTCATTTGTCATTATTAATTTGCTTGACGAAATTTGGGCAATCAAGATAATAGAAGTATTATCACGTCACAAAAAAGGATCAAACGAAATAACAATTCAATGGTCACGAAATGAACATTTCAGAATAGAATAGAACAGTTGACAACAGACAATGAATGCAACCCCAAACAAAAAACCGCAATAGCCAAAACATTGACAAAAAAGAACAAGTCAATAGAAATCAGGGAGATAACGATTGTGTGGACAACAACAAAAGTGACAACGGTTAAGTGATAAGTAAACAAAAAGAAATATATGCACTAAACTTGGAAAGAGTTGGTTGCTACTAACTAGAAGCACTATGTCAACAAAATCATAACAAATCAAGTGAGGTAAGACAAAGCTCAGGTGTAACCGAACATACTCTCGCTACTTGCATGGATCAAAGCAGGGAAACCCTTTTTTCGTATTTCAGTAATACGAGCATATCTGACAGGTTGACTGATATTTTCAGTCAAAGGCTCGCAATAGAAACTAGGGTCCACATTTACGGTATCTGGAGGCTTGAATAATTTTGGTCCGACTTGGATAATTTGTGGTCACGAGATACCCATCGTGCAAATTTGACCCCGGCACTTATAAAGCCCTCTCGAATCATATCATTAGCGGATAATAATCTGAAAAGAGAGACGAAAAAAAAAACAATTAACGACAACAGACAATAGGACGGAACAGCATGCCATTGTGTTGATGTTTACGTTTTCATCGCCGCTTGACGGTCGGTTACGAAAAGGTAAAATGTACCATAATAGAAGAAGAATTGGTACAAGCGAGAAGAAAAGCGTGCGAAAGTGAGCTATTAAAAGGGGTAAGGTAATTGTCGCCAATCGCTGAGTCAAAAGCTGTAAATTTGAATGTGCGTATATATAAATGAAAACAAGTGAGAGTGGTATTTATCCTTCACGGAGTAAATAAAGTCGTACATTTTACACTCTCACAGTTTTATTGGCGGAGAAATACAATAATGGCAGGTGTTGCAACACAAATGTCGTATACTCGTTTAGTTTAATTATGTTACTACAAACATTTTATATGTTCAAAATATTAATATAAAGATGTACCTTATGAACACAAATGAGATATATGTGATATAAACATAAGCATAAGTTATATAAAAATAAGAAGACATAAACCAAAGAATGGGAGATCGCAAATTTATTATGTACTAAAGAAAATGATTATATGTGGTATATAGGATATTGCAATTTTCAGCATTAAAATCCAAATTTATCAGTTCACTTAATTTTGTTAAGATGTCTTACATATTGAACAATATATACGGTAAAAAGCCAACCGAAAATTTTCTAGCCGAATTTTAATACTAGACCTGTCAGATTGACCGATATGTTCGGTAAAAAATTGGTTGTTGTTGTAACGGCGAAATTCTGACAAGTTGACAGTCCTTGGCCGGATAAAATCCCAGTCCGTTCCGGTTACATCATATCCACTGCTGTACATAAATTTGGTGTCGATGTCCTTAAAAAGTTATAATACAGCTGCGATAATTTTTGGGCGTGAAATACTTTGAGGGCACTATTTGTGCAAAGTTTTATACGGATACATGGATTGGATTTTGATTTGTATACTGGAATGTGAAAAAATCAGATGGTATTTAAAACTGTGTTGTATGGGTAGAAGGCGTAGATATGATCCGATCTAGCCCATTTTCACAGTGTGATAGGTTTTGGAAGGTAGTCTTACACACCTGTTTGTTTTTATTCTAACATTACTTAATCTAATCATTTAATCAAGAAACCAGCAACAGTTTTAGCGAATATGATTTATGTCACTAAGGATATATTTTAAGTTTATGAAATTGTTTCTCATAATTATGTTAAACTATTATGCAAAAATTAATTAAATATCCAAATGCTTGTAACATAGTGTATTCGCAAATTATCGCACATTAAACTTCAACAAACTGTGTACTCCTCTGCATAACAAATAAACACTTGGTAAGCAGCGAGAACGGCTAACGAGTTCCAAAAAATACGACTTTTATTCTTTTATGCATAAAAAGCCATGAACAATTTAAGATAACATTGGCTCCCTATATGTAGTAGTGCCTGTTCAAGCATATGGTATATCCTCGCTTCGGCATCGATATATTGCAGTTAATTAACGGTTGAATGCAACATAATAAAAGCAAATTATTTATTTAAATAAAATAGTAATTGTAAGAAGTTAAGTAGCATTCAAGTAGAGTTAATACATACAAACTTACTCCCACTATAAATACAAACATATATATTTGTTTAAATATTCATGTATTAATATGCTTTTTAACTCGGCATTTAAGCTGCTTAGCGCCTAACTTTGCGGCTACTTATGTTCTCACCATTATCGCACGCAGCTGCTTTTTTGTTGCGCGATTTGCTGTTTTACAGTTTGCTGCATGTAGAAAACTTTAGAAATTCTTAATTTCAAGTCTCAAAGCTATATCTCAGCTATAGTGCATTGCAGTAGGCAACACGGACGAAGTTAACGTCTTATGTTCACCTAGTAAGATGCTTCACATTTTGCCTGTTTAATACTTCTTGTTACGCTTTGAACTATTGTGCGAGCTAGAGAGAACCATTAAATGCATTAAATGCATTTTTGCTGGTGTTCAGATTTTGTTGCCGTATACATTTTGGTCTATTAAATTTAAGGCTTCAAGCCCTATATTTTAGTACATGTACCTTATATTTTTTTTCTACTCGAGGCTTATGTTAATTAGATTTAATAATATAAACCTTAGTAAGTGCTGGAGAAGAGACGTACTAAGAAATGCAGTTACTAACTTGAAAAACTTAATTGGAAAACAAACTTATGGTCAAATAAACTGAAACTTTGCAACTACAGCATTTTATTATCCACTTAAACAATTTTTCTTTTGCTTTTTTATTTTACAGATTCTAAAGTACAGGTACTTATTTGGCTCACACGCAAGAAGACATGAATATACCTACCACTACTACTTTTGCTTCCATTTTCTGAGCATTGTTAGCACATACGGTT